TGCTAATAATAAAAACTTCAGTTATTTTTGAATCAAACCAATATTTTAAGAATACAGAATCGTGTATGATCGATACAGAAAAAGATCTTAAAATTCATAAGAAAGAGGAAGAATCAACCGTCAGCGATTCTCGAATCGCCGTCTGAGGGAGTAAAAGAGAGGGAAGGAATAGGGATGGAAGAGGAGAGAGGGAGGTGGGATGGGAGGAAGAGGAACCAACGGAAATACGAAGCGGAGTTCTGCGGCCGTCACGTTGGAGTGACGAGTACTGGCGTTCACCTTCACCCTCTCAAGGTACTCAGTCGAGCGGGCCAGAATCCTTCGAACCCATCCACAAGGTCTCTTGCTAGCGGCAGCAGTAACAGCAGCAGCAGCAGCAGCAGTAAGTGTAGCAGTAGCAGCAGTCCAACCACCCACCCACCCCCAAGACTCTCGAGCGTGGAACCACGGAGCACCCCCTTTCGCTCTTTACTTCGTTTTACTCTCCCCCAACACCCCCGAACACCCTCCTCTACGGCCGACTAGTAGTCGAGGAATTCGAGTTACTATAAATCTCCCTTGACGGGCGCGAGAGCAGTACGGTGAGACGAGAAGGGCTGAGACGAGCACCACCACCATCACCATCACCATCAGCATTCGAAGAGTGAGCGAGAGAGGAAGAGAGAGAAAGCATAGAACGGTGCGTTTCACCGCACCGTGAATTGTAATAGTTCTGCTCGCCTCAGGTTCTAACGTAGTAGTCGCGGAGTAAAAAGAAAGCGACAACGTTCGCGAGGGTGCTGCTTCGTTTCTCTGTTCACCTCCTCTTTGTCCTAACCTGTCACTCGGTCTTCCTTTACATCGAACTGAAAGCTGCCCGCACTAAGGATCTTTCTTTTGCGATCCACCCTTTCTCTTCATTGTATTTATTTCCCGTTCGAATAGGATTTTGTTATTTTTAATCTGTCTATAGACTGCATACAATTAGTATAAAAATTTGTATCGGATATTAAGAAATAAAATACGAATATAAAATTGTGAGACAATATTATTCGGTTAAATTCATTTTCATTTATTTATTATATGGTCTTTATTTTTTTGTTTTTAAATAAACGCGTAACCAAAAATAATTCATTCCTGGCAAGAAAGAAAGTTTCGAATAAGCTTTAAAACAGAAGTAAAACGAAATAGTTTCTTTGGCGCACAATGCGAATTGTATGGATAAAGGAAAAAGGGAAGGCAGATATCAATCACGCAAGTAGCGAAGGGCTGAGATTTGGCAGCAGCTTCCAAGGAGAAGAGAAGTACGAGAATTCAACCCACCTTCGAGTCGGAACAACTGCGGCCATTGTATCATTTATTTTTCTAAGAAGCTCCAACTATATCGATCCATGTGTTATCGAAGCTTCAACGCTTTCGTCATCTTATCTTATTCTTTTTTTCTTTGAATACATTCTTAGATGTCAGTAGAAAAAAAAAAAAAGAAATGGAAGAACTTTTTCTTTAATTCAATTCCATAATATTAAGAATAATTTAATAAATATTTGAATTAAATTGTTTACATTAATATTTATGTTTTAAAATAGATAAACATAGTTAATTTTTAAAAACGATACCATCTAGATTTCTAATTCTATTTCGTCTTTTTCTTACATTTTTTTACGGTAATAGAATTTAGTAACGGAGTTTGAACAGACAGCTAACGTCTCGCGAAGGTTCAGTTGACGTCATCTTCAATGAAGAAAGAAACGTGCTTCTACCTTGTCCGATGTCAGTTACATATCCTACAATACTGACCCCATGGGAGCTCGTGGGTTAGATAAAACTCAAGACAATGGGAATAATGGGCGCGAAAAGGAATATAACGCAACTTGATCGCGACTGACGCTTGTTTTCTTGTCCTATGAACGATTGCAAAATTTATATCATTGCTATTATAGGTTCAAAATTATTGGAAATTTGTTCCTAAGCTTGCATAAGCTTAAACAAGATATAAAAATTAATTTTGTACTTAAAAATTTGAAATTGTTATAGTAAATAATAAAATAATATACATATATATATATATAAAATAAATAATTTGTTTAATCAAAAATTTTGTAGAGAAAAAATTTAGAATACTCCAATATTTGAAATTTTTTTAAACAGGATGTTAAATAATTGCTACCCTTGCGTGATTTCAATTTCAACGGCATGCCATCTGTAACAAAACAATTGCAACAATATATTCAGAAATGATGCAATCGGTAATAGAATTGAAGAAAATATATATATTCTGCCTTATCGACCATAAGAAATAATATTGTTAACTTATATTGTTGCGAGTACGATGGCGCCCATATCGCATCGCAGCCATCATGAATCAAATTGTGTCAAGAAGAAGTGGGGGTTGATCGTGACGAGGGAGGACCTTTCTGGTTAAGCCTACCAAAGGGTGGAGCCCGACACGCGCCAGTAAAGACCACCTGCAGCTTATTACAGTGGCGTAGAAATCAATTATCCATTATAAATATTCCAACAATTGGATAACACATTAATATTTATTAATATTTATTAGATTATTAATAAATTGTGCATAAAATAACGAGATTACGTATTTGATCGCACATAAATGTTTTGTTAGGTGTTGTTAACTTTAAATTTCTTTTAAATAAAATACAAATATTAATAGCGTTATGTAATTGGAACAATATTTAATACATTTCGTTCAGAATTATTTAAATAAGTCAGTTCTTTAATTAATTATATGAAGAATTAAAAGATAATGGTTAAAAATACATCTTATAAATTCGAAAACTGAACGAATGCAATGCTATCTTTGTTCAAATAGAATAAGATTGTTGCACAAATGCATCTTCTGGCTTACCAACTTATATAAAATGAGTTACCTCTGTCGATATCATTTACCGACAGTCGATGATTTCTTAACTTAACGTGATGACGGTACAAAACTATCAAAGAACGGTACAATACTATCAAAGAATACAGTATTCTACCTATTATCACCTACTGGTGGTCCCATATAATAACTAGGATGAGTCTGGGTAGATAAAAACGGGAACTTGCAAGCTTCTACATACTTCTGTATTTCGTATTTTATTAATTTACTATTCTTATCAACAGCTGGTAGGTTATCGAAAATATTTAACTACAAAGATACTCGACATAATTTTTTCTATTATAAAAAAATCTTTTTTTAAAACATCACTTATAATAACAAAAAGATAGATAAATGTAAATACTAATATGGTAGAAAGATTAAAGTAACACATATTACTAATACACGTCAAAAAAAATATACCATGATTTTTATTTATTTATAGTTAACGAAAAATAAAGATAACAAATAATCGAGATATTTATTTTATATATCAAACATCGATTAATCCAATAATACAAGCTATCAGCTATACTAATAATATCAGTTATTAGAATAAAAACTCAATGCTAAACATTTGAGTTTCTAAAATATACAAAGAGGATGATGTTTATATATACAAAAGAAGGTTGCGAGAGAAGTTAGTTCGCTTTTCGTCCTAGAAGAGATCAGGTAAGCAGAAAGTAGATAGGGTATCCTTTCGAAGTTTATAGGTTCCCTCCTTTCATCCCCACTATTCGTAACGTACAGCATCCCTCGAAACCACTAGGGTGCTTTCATCCCCAAAGATGGCAACGCCCAGCGCCGTTTCCCGTGCGCGTTTTCAATCTCCTTTCGACGCAGACTCGACCAGTCGTTACAATTGACGCTTCCAGTGTTCTTCAGTTGCGTCAATAATACTACACGAAGAAGTTTAATCAACTAACAAGAAAAAAAACAAAATCTACTACAAAAATCAGATTACATTTTGATTCTATTTTAAAGATGAAGAAGAGAGGAACGTGCAGATTAAATGGGAAGGACTTTCCATACGAAACATTGGATAATGGCGGCTAATGTTCAACCCGATATTCTTTCTGGCTTTTGAGATAATCTAATACTAACGGTAAGAATTTTATTTATCTTCTATAATCATTATTTGATTCAATAACAAAGTATCCTTTATTGCGCTGTAATTTATTGAAATGTAATTGTTAATAATTTGATTTCATCGTTATCTTATTTATATGTTTCTTATAATACTTATATTAATTTCTTTTTAATGTTATCATTTTTTTTAGCAGAGTAAATAACATCGAATTATTCCAAATACGGATCGAATCCTATATCCAAGACATAAACTTACAAATTCTTTAAACAAATAATTTAATATAGCTAACCCCACCTTCCCAAAAAACATAGACTCGCAAGAGAGAATTAGGGTGCGGATCGAAAATTGAAACGAAATATTTTCTCGTGACATTGTCTTACTGATTATTGATACACGTGCGCGTCAGCGAGTACGCTTCATTCTCGTTCAGGATTGGAAAAAAAGTATAGACGTGTTTCTAGTCCGTGTAATATACACGCACATAAACATAGGTAGAAGAACGTAGTAGAAAGAAACGGAGAACAGATAGGATCATGCAGTGTGTGGCCAGTCGTCAAAGCCGACTTAGCGCGTGTTTTCTGGTTTGTAGTCGGAATATAAGAAGGCGCATATAGGCGTCCACGTTGTCGACGGTGGCTCCGTTATTGGTGAATTTTGGTACTCCAGCGAATACTCGGGCAATCTGGCGGGTACTCAGACGCCGATCGATTTGCACAGTGTTCTTCTACCTCGCTCGCGTACTAGGTGCCATTTCGTAACGCCCGTAAACATAATCTATACATCCAATATTTTGCCGAATATTATCGAACAACTTTTCGTTAGAATATTTGTTCACTTTTTTTTTGTTTTTTTTTTGTTTTTTTTCTTCATTTGTTCATTTTCTCTCCTATTTTATATATTGGAAAACAATTCATGTTTCTTCTTTCGCGATCAAATTTCAATGATTTTATTTTTCTTATAGTCTCCATTTTTTTATCCTCGTGCGTGATCTTCCATGTTTACAACACGCTCTACTCGAACGTCACGATGATGTTTCTTTTTTAAAGTGTACCCAACGTGTATGTTTTATTTTTTAACTGGCAACACGAAGAAAATCGAATTAACTCTGGTAAGATATTATAATTTTATTTGAATTAAAAATAATATTTTTCAAATGTTGTTTTTTTTGTTTTGTTTTCTCGTAGGAAATGATATACGATTAAAATTATTATATTGCGTCGAGACATTTAATTAGAATTCATAGAGATTGATAAAGTAAGTTGGTAAAAACAAAATTAGAATTAATTAATTCAGTTTTTACATAAGTAAGTCGGGTTATTTCACAATCGGATGTTTTTAAATCTGTTGGAAAAAAAAAAAAAGATAAAACATACTCGTCCAATCGAACACATACATAATTATCTTCATTTCTTAACATGATTAATTTTATTTCGTAACCAAAGTAGTTTTAATGATTCAATAAATGTATATTTCAATGCGTAAATGCTTCTCTATTAATATCCAACAAAATCATAATAATTGAAAAACATTGCATTCCATTAGAGATAATTTTCTATATTTAGAATTATTTTTGATTATTTTTAATATATTTATTTATTTTGTCAATGATAATATACAGATTAATTCATCGCACGATTCGAAATGATCTTGGTTATCGTATAGAACAAACATTCCAACGAATTTTTAATCAAAAGTTCCGTAACGATTTTCAGAAAGGCTATGTTCTTAGTCATAGCTGTTTGCAGGAGGGAAACCGGCTACGACTTTAATCAAGGACTCACTCTCAACCCACGTTCCACATCTAACTTTCCGATCCCTAAACTCACCGTTTAAGCGACCCAAGAAAGTCGTAGCTCTTTCTCGAAAAAGCGTTGATAAAATTTCACGCGACGTTATAAACGATAATATTATTCTTTCCAATTTCTCGAAAGATTTGAATTTAAATTAAAAATTTTCTAGACTCTCGTCCCCTTTTTTTGTATATACATATTCAACATTTTCTTTCTTTTTAACACATTAAAATTATTAACAAATAAATTTTCATTTTCCAAGAGAGATATACAATTTAAATCAAAACAGATAATATTTCCTTTCGTTTATATAACTTTCTTTTTAACATTAACATTTTTTTAACACACAAATCAATTTTAACTTTTTTAATAGATACAAAATTTAGATAAAAATATTTTAATCACTTAACACAAATAATATTTATCTTTTCATTTACGTAACTTTCTTTTTAATAACTATGTTGCAACGTTCTATTATTTTTGAAAATCATCATTAATTATATTTAATCATTATAAAGATTGTAATTATATCAAAAAGGTGACGACAAGTAGTATGAATTCGGTGATAGAAGATGGGAAAGCTAAGTCGCTAATCTTTCTAGATCCTTTATTTATTTTTCTTTTAAAGCAAGTTATTAGTTAATGCGCACTGACAGGAGCTATATTATGAATCGATAGGTGAATGGACAAGATGTAGCATGACGCGACAAAGCATTGGATGATCGATGTTGTATCCATGTTGTCTAATAGTCAAGAAGTAAAGCTACCGTAGTTCCTGTAACAATTAACCAGGAACTACCGATCTTTTTTTACACGCAAAAACGTTTTACATATTTTTTTATGCAACATTACAACTTGTTAATTGGTTTACGAAAGTTAGCAAAAGAATAATCGGTTATTAATCATTCGATTAAATCGATCATCTCTTTCGAAGAGATTTTCAAATATACAGGATGGTAAATTTCATTTGTTTGTTTTTTTTATTTGATAATTGTTACCAATAGAATGAATAAGGATTGTAAACAACGACTTATCAAAAAACAATCGTCAGATTTATTTCATATCTTTGCTTTTTTGACCATCTTCATATGTGCAATAAGCACTCGATCAGTTACTCGAATTTTCTTGCATATTTATATCTTATTTGAATTTGCCTTTAAAGATTCGATTAGTTTTAAATTCATTTTCAAAACTGATGAGAAAAATAAATTCAAGAGATTAGCTATTAGCCAAGGATAGAACTCAAATTTTCTATATTCGGGTTATATTTAAATAACGCTCACTCTCTTAATCTAAAGGAATAAGCATGGTTTCCAAAAGTAGAGAATCAGCTGAAAAGCAGAAAAAAACAACGAAGCAAAGAAAATTCAAATAAATAAATTAAACGGGTATAACATTCAATTATCTATAATAGAAAAGGTTCGTTATTTTGTACAAATTTCATTTGGTCAAATAAATTATACGAAATAGAATATTGAAGAATATATTTTAACGAGTATAGCCGTTCATTTCTGATTTCTCTAACTAAATAAAATATTTGATTGTATTGCATTTAATAAAGTAGGCCGATAATAAATATTCATGAAAATGAAAGAATCGTCGGTTGATGCGATGAAGTACGAATACTATTATAAAGAATCGTTAGAAAGTCTGAATGTTATTATATGAATATATCATTCATTCGTTTGAAACGAAATAACGGGCGTTTTCCGTCGCGAAATTTATCTCTTTTCGCTTCTATTCACAGGAACTCGCACGCGCTGTAATTTCACGAGTCTTGTATAGCGTTGAATTAATATACCAACTATCATAAACTAACACGTTTCCGCGAGAAGTGACGTCATTTGATGTCATACGTAAATGGGTAGGAGAGAGTCAGTCGGTGATGATGAGCCCTTGTTAATCTCTTATGTTCCGTTTAGTTGATATCAACCGATTCCCACAATCGCTTGAACTCCATTTTAAAATATCATTGTCAATATCTAATAATATTTATTATTGATTTGTAGCTATGTGAAATTTAATCAATAGTCAACCTATCGTAGTTTAATGTAATATATTTAGTTAGTATATTAAAATTCAGACTATTGTTACAATCTAAATCATACTTTTAGTTTTCTACGTGTTCAAATCCGAATAAATAATTATTGTTTATTTGAAAGTTTATATTATACATTGAAAGTATACACTTTCTTAATTATACAAATGTTCAACACATAATACTTTTATTACAAAAGCTTATACGTAGACGTCAACTAAGAGATCAATTACAAGACAGTACGGTGTTGAACTTTAAAACGGTTCATTTGCCTAATTAAAGATTTTTAAGAATTTACTTTTCTTCAGCACAATATCACAAATTATTCAAACCCCCACACACGAACTTCATTTGAAGTAAGCAATAATAATTTAATTTACAGTATTCTATCAAATGTAAATACAAATTATCACACGAAATTATATAAGAGACGACAATTCAAATTTATTTATTAATTAACTGTTTCTTATTGTCACTCGTTTATAAATAACAATGTTAAAACGTAGTCAAAAATGTTCCAACAGAAATAGAAAGCTTTCGTAGATATTAGGTTACGATCGAGAAGAAAAAAGCATGCCCCCCATCGCTATTTTGTAACGGCAATAAATCACGAAAACTGACCTGATACTATACCCCTAACTTTCTTTTTTTTTGTGTTCTTGCTTTTTTCCTATTCTTTCTTTTACGGATATTCGACCAGGTAAGTTCGTAAAGTCACAAATAATGCTGTTCGTTCATTTTTTTCTTTCATTCGAGACCTTGGTTTCAGGGATGGACCTGGGCGATATTTTCAAATTCTTTGACTTGCTTAAAAGAACAAATTTTTTCTTCCCCTTTTCTTTTCACAACGATAATAAAATATCCTTAAGTCGTATAAATCAATCGCATTCCAGACGAATAATCAAACTCGATCTACAGTTCGAGTAATATTTTTATTTTTTTATTTTACAGACCAAGAGAGAGAGAGAGAGAGAGAGAGTTAATTAAATGGCTGCAATGGATTAATATAAAAACAAACAAATTTATACATAAGAACAATTTACGCTTAAATGCTGAGTCGTTGTTTGGATTTCATTTTAGGAGCGAATAAAATGGTCCACTGAATTGTTAAGAGGGAATAAGAACGAGAGAGAAAGAGATAGAGAGAATGGAAATGGGGGAGAAAGAAGGGAGAAGAAGATGGACAGAGAGAAGCAAAGAAACGAAAAGCAACGGACGAACGAGAGATGAACGGATACAGGATGAAAAGAGAAGGACGAAGAAAGATACCGGCTGGCAAGCAGATGGTAGCCTCGTTTATTGGTTTACTCGTCGGCTCGCTGCCCCTACGGCCATGAAACGAGACTTTAGAACGAATGTCGTTTCTCTTTGTAGCAGAGAGAACGACCCGACGACCTTCGATTCGATGGAAATCAATGTAAATGATATTTTCAAATTACATTTTCTTCTTTACACGCCAACGGAAGATCTAAGATTTGTCTATTTTTTTTTCTTAATCGTTAGAAACATTTTTTTATCGAATATTAAACATCTCTTGTAATCATTTCATATTATTGTATAGGACATCGAGTATATATCTTTGAAATCGTTCACAATCATCTTATAATTATATGTGCATTATAGGAAGTATATATTGTATTTCATGTAAAATTAATGTAAGAATTTGTTGGTCTCTTTAGAAAACAGGTAGGACAAGAATGTATTCGGTGTCTGGATGAAGCAAGAAACTTTCGATGTAGATCGCATCTTCTTACCATCAATGCATTCATTGGGCGTTCATTCAAGAAGTACGTAAGTCATGTTGCGGGATGCATTATATCCGTTAGATGTACACTGCTCAAAGTTGACGATCTCACGATGTTGATTCGTAATATATTCGATATTTTAATATTATTCATGCAAATGAATCAATGATAATATTATTATTTCTACATGCTACTTACAACAACAACAAAAAGAACAATAACTACTTAATATAATTTTCTTAAGATCATATTTAACTTCGTAAAGAAATAAATTATTTCACCTAAGATAATATATATTGAATATCTAACAACTAAGAACTTCTGATTTATGTAATAACTAATAAGGAGTCTAAAGTAGTCGATAGAGAAACTCCAAGGTAATTAATATTATACATTTTTGATCATAATCTATCTCCAGGGTGCAATTTCTACTCGGTTTTCCAAACTCTATATAAGCTGGCTTCCAGTTTCATGCTCGAGCAGTAGAAAAGTTTGAGCGTGAGCCATGAAACGATCCTAATACGTAAAATTATGTGTGCAGGAGGCGAGGGGGAGACGAGGAGGAGGAAGATAGTGGTGGAATATAGTAGCTGACATTAACTGAGGGTGTATGTGTCTATATGTCTGTAAGAGAAAGAGGGAGATAGAAGTATACGCACAGATATATAGACGCAGCCATCAAATAATGGCGTCGTGGGGGCGGATAGCAGTTGCCGGGTCGATAGGAGGAAGGCCCTTGACCTGCAAAACTCCGACTGCCTTCCCACCATCGGCGTTGCTTTAACGACAACCCTCGCTCATTGGCTCTTGTAGACTTCTCCCTAGGGAAAGAATTGTGATTCACCTGCTTTTTTGGTAAGTATAACCGACAACTACGTTCGCTTGTTTGCGATCGAACAGAGGGTTCATGTTTAATTTATCAACAAATAATATTAAATTATTTGGAAACAAAGGTTCACTGAGGTTGATCGTAAATGTCTTGAGAAATAATCGAAAAGTTGATTGGATTTTTACTAGAAGTCCGAAAAATTCTTGAAGTGAAGTTCAATCAGATGTCGGTAGTATCGACGAATCACATTGAAACGCGCGAATTTTAAAATTAATTAAATAAACAAGTTTGTTTATACAAGTTGTATTTAAAAAAAGATTGAATGAACAACAAATATTAGAAAATATAAAATTTTGAATAAATTATAATATAATTGGTATTTATTTCTGACTGTAAATTTTCAATAATTAGTTGTGTGTAGAAGTGTAATATTGACCGCTGTTGAAGACCAACAGTTAAAGCCCAAGGGAGCTTAAGTCACGTTAATCCTCATAAATACTCGAGGGCGGTTCCAAATAGATTAACGCTGTAGCCCCGGAGGAAGTTTGGTTTTTTAAGATAGATTATCTCTGTTGAAGCTAACAATAGAGCTTAAAGAAAATATTGTGACAAGAAAAACCTTGCGGATAGATCTTTTGAAAGTAATACTCTATTGTATACTCCTTTCAAGGATTATATCAACCAATTAAGATATTCAACTGATTAGATATTCCAATGACTTGCGTATTATGATTATTCTTATTTAAGATTAACAATCGATTTCTCAGGAAGATTTTAAAGTACCTCTCAATAGGGGAACAAGTTTTTTTCTCGCCAATAAGAATTGACAAGAAAGTTTCATTTGCGATATCGATACATTCATCTATCTATTGCGATGATATTGACTATATATTAATTTCAGGTGAACGAACGGAAGACAAGATATGACCAAGTGACCTGGAAGTGCAAGGTGCGTTACAGCACGGTATATAAAACGAGCCGTTGAGAAGAAAGAGAAAAGAAAAGAACATGATGGAGAAGCCGACCTTGCTAAGATCAGCTGTGTCATCCTTGGGCCGTTAACGCTCAGGTGGTTTCGATCTCAGGGCCGAGCATCAATCATCATTGGTAGTGCAAGGCGTGATGTGATTATTGTCACTAAGATACTCTACTACGATATAACAATCACGAAAGTGTGCCACGTGACATAACAGAGTTTATCTTTAACGGTTAATCTTAAGCATCAAATAAAACAGACCTAATGTTCTAGCCTGCCATTATGTTTTATTCATTGTGGTAGGTCAGTACACGTGAGTTTCTTTTAACCATTAGACATTTTAAAAAAAAAAATTATGGAATTGGAATCTATGGAATTTAGGTCTTCCTTTATGTTACTTATATTATTTACTTTTATTAATATTTTCTTATATTTGTTTTAATATAATTGTTTTTCGGTTATATAATAATATTGATATTAATTTTGTTTTTTAGGTCCAGTCTATGCTGTTCAGAAAAAATGAGAGTGAATGAATTCATTTAGTTAATAGAAGGAAAGCATAAAATGGTGTATCTCGAAACAAAATTTCCCAAAATTTTAATATGTAGAATAATCACAAAATTATTAGAGATATTAGAAGAAAAAAGTAAACTTGATACTTTAATACAAATTCGAAATGTTCTATTTTACATTTGAAAACACTAAATTGGCATTTTAAACAAAAACATATTTTTAATAGCCAATGGTTTCATACTATAAATTAGTATAATTTCAATTTTTGTCAATAATGTAAATATGAAAAAATGAAAGGATAAAAAAAAGATAATGCAAAAGTGCTTACGTGTAAAATGGGCGATTAAGAGGCCATTAAGTTATCTCAAACAGTACAATACGTTTTCCAGTATATTAACAGCAAAGATATTCTCAAAGATATTAGAATCTGATTTCAGCATCGAGTTTAATAACAGCGAACTCCCTCCCTGCATCGTAGCAGAATGACTCGACGAAGCGAGTCTGTTTTCGAATGACTTGGCATTACCAAGAGAAGAAGATCTGTGCTAGTAAGATCGCCAATTTCAGCTGCTGCCAATATCGTCATCTGCTGAGAATCGATATTGAAATATATAGTAAATATTAAATGTAATGTCACTGTGAGATCGATGTAATAAGAAATAATTAACTTGGCAGATATTTAACATTTTTCGTTAAAATCGTAAGTCTTTATCGGGATATCGTAGCCAACGCAAAAATCAATCTAATTTTATAATACTAATTTTATTATCCAAAATACGAGCTCTCTTCCAAAATTCAGAGAGTTGAAGAAATTATGTGATTTATAGTTTATTATATAAAAAAATATTCCACATTTTTTCCTAATATTAATGTAATGTATTTTTAGGTGAAAGTAATGATGATTGCTGATCGAACACTGGGCCAACACAGAAGTCAAAAATTGGCACGTATAACATACACATGTTATAAAACGTGCAAGTAAAAAATGACGTGCGAAGTGAACAGACGATAATTTAAAAATATTTCTTTTTTTGTTGTTGAAATTAAAAAAAGAATTAATAACGTGTGCCGTTAAACAAAGGCCCAGTTAATGCTCTACATCTACCCTGTAGATCCGAATTTGTTTGATAAGAGGCGACAAATTCGGTTCTAGAGAGGTTTGTGTGGTGCATACAGTGCTACGGTGGTCTCTATTCTACGAAATGTAAAAAGAATATGTTATTTTAGTTTTTTTATTTTAATACAATAATTTTCCCGGATTAAGATCGATATTCTAATCGACTTTGACATTATTACGATGAAATATTACGATTTAACCAGTAGTACGAAATTTGTATTTATGAACATAATAATCGTACATCATTTTCAATGTTAATATGCAAAAACTACAATTTATATACATCGATTAGATATATGGAAGAATGATTATCTGTCTGTAAAGACAAAGATAATCACGAAAGAGATTTTATCTACAAAGAATTATTCTCATTTATCGACTTGTGCTTGAACGATGTTGCTTTTATTAACTATGTGTAAGATAAGATCATTAAAAAAGAAAATTAGATACACGTGGCGTATCAACATGAATCAGAAAATGATTAGGAAAAAATGTATAAATTAAAGAAAAAAGGTAAAACGAACTCATACACCCACATAAATAAATATCGCGTAGTGGAAAGAATAAGAAAAAGAAATGTTTTCGAACAGGTAAATTGACAATTAGAAACAGTCGAGTAATAGGAATTTGCATATGGAATAAGTAACATCGTATATTCTGAGATCTATGATCTTTGTAAAATGACTTATTTCACGAATCATTCCCATTTATTTCGAGGCATTTCCAGTATGTGAAAGCTTCCAATAGTTAGGAGAAATGTCCCGAAGGTATAGAGGAATATGAATTATCGTCATTAATTTCGTGTGGTCTTGGTGCACCCATCTCAGGATGCTGTCGATGTTGAACTATGTTATGACTAGCGACCCGTTGCACATCCACGCTTAGATGCATAGCATTAACTCGCACATTCCTATTCGCTACTTCTACAGGACGATTCAAATTTCAATTATTCTTCTGAAATATTTCTTATAGAAATTTGAATAATTGCTTTTAACGACTATATTCATTATCAAATTAAGAAATGAAATTATATGTCTGCGTAAATATAATTATAGGAATCGCGTAGAATATTTTATTTAACAAAACTAGTATCCTTTTAACATTGTATTAAAAACTACTAATCGTTCTATTGATTCTAATCTCACTAATCGAAAAATTTATTTTTAATCTTTTTAATGTGGCGAACGCTTATACAATTTTTTTGTACCGATCGATAAAAGATAAGCGGAAGGATTTAGATATAGATAATTTGTTGTAATTGTATAGAAAAAAGTGAGAGAGAACATTCAAACAGGATAACACAGTAGATGGGTATAATTAAGAAATTTTACATCAATGGTTGGAAAGAGGTACAGGATCTAAGCAACCACGACTTCATCATCTTCTTCTTCTCCTTCTTCTTATTCTTCTTCTTCTTCTTCTTCTTCTTCTTCTTCCTCTTCCGTTACGTATGTATATCTTCGTTTTCTAGATACAAGCACGTGAATTCTTGAATCCTTCTGTAACGGTGAAGGTACGTCCATTAATCTTTGATCGTACTCATATTAAAGTGACATGCGGTGGTTATGCAACGCCTAGTACCTAAGTGCTAATGAAGTGCATACACAGGCATAATTACCGTATGAGTGGACTGCCCACTTTTCACGCGGCGTATAATCTATCGGATAACAAAAAAATAAAATTCAAAAGAAAAAAGAACGAAAAACGATTTCACAATGACTCGCGACAAAAAAAAAATAGAAAAGAAAAGGAATCCTTACGGTGCGTTCGTTCACTTATAAACAGATCGAAAGTTGAAGACAAATTTTAAGCAAAGTCTGTATTCATCCGAGTTGCATATTTTCAAATAATAAATAAGGTACTAGACGTATGTTCGCATATATATATATATAAAAATTCACTTTTATTTATAAAAAGAAGTTAAAATTGTTTTATTGTTGTTAAAGCACGAAACTTGTAAACTCAACTTTGTATATATGTATATGTATTTATTTAGATATTTATGTATATGAAACTTATCGCACGCGTTCGTAGATACAATTTCCAACTTAACATTCATATTTATGAAGTTCCTGTCTTTAACGTTTCTCTAGGAAGTTTTGAGCTTGGGAGGAATTCATTAGTACTCAGGTATATACTATTCAAAACGAGTTAATAATTCAAAGATACATAGGCAAGTAGGAAGACTGAAGATAAGCAAAAAAATACCTAATTAAGAACGAATTGTTTTTTACGTAATTCCTTATCGAAGTTAAAAAGAAAAAAAAAACGCGATAAAAAAATAAAATTAAAAAAGTAAATATTTTAAGATGGTTAAAAAATGTAAAACAAAAAAATCGTGTGTTACTTATATTGAAAGATATTTTATAATACGAATAATAAGAATTAACAAGACGATATATAATTCAAAGAATTCATCTCCACGGTGTGTCTAAAGTCACTCGTCTTATTTACAAACGTCGAAGGTTTCTCGTAATCTCGATGAGAATATAGCAAGCACACAAAAGTAGATACTTTATGTAGGTATATAGGTAAGTATACGTACGTATAACACATATATTGTCAGATAAAAAATAATCGGTTATAAGAAGTTAAATAAGCAAGCGGCAGTGAAGTTAACGAGCAGCCAAGTCAGCGAGCATTTCGAATTGCGAAACGTACGTATCTCGCGAGTTCTCTCATCTTATGAATTCTCTCTCTTTCTCTCTCTCTCTCTCTCTCTCTCTCTCTCTCTCTCTCTCTCTCCTTCATCTTCTTTACTCGAAGAAATGAAATAAGTATCGTTCGGTGCATCTAATCTCTCAGGACGTTTCACCGGACGTGGACGTCGACGAACTCGACATTCTGGTTGCCGAGAAGCCTCACCCTCACCGAATAAACGACGACAAGAACGACAAAACAACAACAACAACGAAGACGATGATGATGACAACGACAACGAAGAGGATGCTGCTGCTGCTGTTGAAGCTGAAGTTGTTGTTGGTCAAATGAGCAAATGGATACGCTTGGACGCGTTTACGCGCGTTCAGAGATCCTCGCTCGGCAAAGAGTCTCCAGTCTAAATCCACATTCGAATGCGCGAGAAAACATAGGAAGATTAATGATTTATGTGACATGAGCTTGATAAAAGAAAGAAAGAATGAGAGAGAGAAAGAGAGAATGAGAGGGGTAACAGGAGTGTGTTCTAAGTGGTGAAGTATAGTGGGAGGGAAAGGAAGGTAAAGTGAGGGGAAACCATTCGCACGTTTTATTTCACGAAATAAACCACGAGGAATGGCTTCTCCTTATTTCTTTCGTTTCTTTTTGCATCGACGATAGGACGGACCGCCTTTTCTACGACTTTTCTAAGTCTAGTCTTGAAATCACCTAACTCAACTACGAGAGAACTCGATCGATCGAGCTAACTTTAAAGAGAAGTCTTTCATATCGTACGAGAACAAATATGAATCCAAAAAATATCTTTTTGGATTTTTCTATTGATGCTAGCTTATTGATTTTTGTTTTTTTCTTTGTACTTGATTTTCTTTTTGTTTTTATTTGCCTCTTCTTTAGAGAGAGAGAGAGAGAGACAGAGAGAAATTATAAAGAGAAGTGCACGAGAAACTGGATCAAACTTTGCGATTTGATGGATTGAGA